CTACATTTCTTGGAGTGCTACGGTGGAGTAGTTCTCATCAAAACTGTTGGTGATTGCTGGTAACAGGAGGTCCAGCGCCACCTAAGGACCTCAGTAATGCTATTAACGATAAGAGTTTATTTTGAAAAAATGAAAGAAGAAAAAGACACGTAGACTGCACTGAGGCATTTAACAAATGAAACTACTCTTCATCAAAAATAACCCAACACAACTGTACAATTTTAAAGCTCAAAATGTGTTAACAATTGTATTTGCATCATCTAGATTTAACTGAGACCATATTGAGATTAAACAGAGCTTTACGACCCCTATTTTCACCACCCTCAATGTAACAAAAGCTAAACATAGGAAGATGACATCTAGTGGAAACATTCTGGTGCCTTCTTAATGGAATTATGGTAAATATCAGTTAGTTAAAAAAAATGGACTTGGGACTGTGGATTATGCTTTGTGGACTGCATATAAAAAGCGGACTAGAAATTATGAATTGGCTACAGCATAGAGACTGGGTATTAAACGTGGAATACTGATGGTGTTTAAAAAGAATCTGTACGAAGATCATAATAAGATAAATATTGCGGATTAGCATAAAACCATGGCTTTAGCCTCCAACACAAACATTTTTTTGGCTTATCACTCAATCTTGTCTCCCCAAAGTTTGTGGGTACAGAAACAAATACAAAGCCCTTAACTAATGCTACCCAAAAATACTGTGAATAAAACTCTGAATTTTAAATAAAAAAAGAGTTAGAGGAGAATTCCAGGGCCAGTAGGTTTAAACCAGTGAAAGATAGGAATCTGAAAGGCAGTGAATCAACAAATTAAACCAACGTTCAATAATGTTTTAACCAGCTCCTTAAGTAACATAGACAGCAAATTATAATGTTTTCACTTTAAATACTCATTGGAGATGTCAGTGAGTTTGAACCTCTGCTTTAACTCTGTGATAAATTCACAGAGGTCGACTGGCCACAAGTCCATTGCAAAGGCTTGGAGGTAATAAGCCGAGTTTTCAAAAATAAATAAATAAAAAAACCCGTAGTCCGCATTTTATGCCTTGTCCGTGTTTTATACCAAGTCCGCGGTCCGTAATCCGCAGTCCGCAGTCCACAGTCCACAGTCCACTGTCCTGATTTTTTACTAACCGCAAAACAAAATGGCTACAAGCACTCAAATGAAGAAATAAAAAAAGTATTGGAAATTAACTATAATTGTAGAAAACAATTTTTTGAGTTACCCGTGACAATTGCCAAAATCGTTCTCACTCGAGAGCCATCACCAATACACGCTGAAAATTGGGCTGTAATCACAACGATGAGTCCGTCGGCAAGGATGTTGTACACCCGTCCCAGCTCCACAATCCTTTTCATATCTTGGAAATACGCTCAGATCAACCAGTTTTGGCCATCGTTATTCAGCTCCACGGGCATCGTGTCAAGTAGGTATAGTCCACCGTATTAAACAAGGAAATTCTCCTGTAGATTCAAAGAAAAATCTCTCCCTTTGCGGAAAATAAGCGAAGTAGCTATTACCACAGTTAAGTGCCCGAAATAAACTTTCTTCACTCTAGACTCGTTCAAATCTTGAGACATTCTTTCCAGTTTGGAGCTTTTCTTTTCTGTTCAAAACAACAATCATAATGATCAGGATTTTGTTTTAAGGCCAGTAGATTGTTTACACTCCGTCTGTCGCCTGCACGTGAGTTCCGAACATGAGCCCACAACCTCACCGCAGAATACAGCGGTATATATAAATTACGGCGGATCTCGATGTAAAATACACGACGATGGACATTAATATGAAGATATGACGCACATACTCTTGTTTTTTGACCATCGTTTAATAGAAGAAACAAAAAGCAAACTGCATTGATAAGCAGTAATAACATTAGCAAACATAAACGCATTTCTGGAAAGAAATAAAACTTTAACTTGACGTTTCGTATGTTTCAACATACATGTCCAGAAGTAAGTATAACGCACAGGTTCCTAGCTGTACGCACAGTACACCCCCCCGGGGGGGGGAGGGGCACTCAAGAGACGTTTGGGTGTAGGTGCGCTACCGAAGTCTTTAAAACCTGACCCTGTATGAAACAAAATTGCTCATTTCGCTACCCTGTTAACCTATGGATAACAGTAAGCTTGTTGGGTCGGTATTTTTAGATCTTAGGAAAGGAAAGTCTTTGACCTGGTAAGCCAAGATATCTTTTTATCTAAGATCGCTAAATACCTCGTCAGCCGGCCAACCTTGACATGGTTTGGGTCTTACTTATGTGTTCGAACTCAGACCTACGTCATCTCTGGAGTGTTATCTGACCCACTCACCTTGACACAAGGCGTCCCTCAAGGATCGATTTTAGGTCCCGTATTATTCTCATTTTACATTAATGATCTGCCCCTGTGTTTACCAGCTTCTGACGTTGAAATATATTCCGATGATACAACATTATGAATTTCCGATCACTCCATCGATAATATTCAGCACAATTTGCAAAACAGTCTAAACAATGCCAGGTAGCAAATTTTAACCGTTTTCAATTTTTTGCCCTTTAACTTCTTTTAACGATATCTTTTACATTTTAGAATTATTTGTAGATTGGACCCACAATGTAAACTACTGGGTTTACCAGTAATTGCGACAGCCATTAAAGTTTCATTTATTTATTTAGTTATTTAAAACAAGAGACCTTATTTTTTGACCCTGATTCGTTTCATTTTGCATACAGAGTTCGGTAGTTTTTCAAACTAATATCATGAACTAAATTTTTTCGAGCAACATTGTTGGTGCCACATATGTAGACCACTCATCTGCAGCCTTCACACATTTTCAAGCCTTCCAGCCCAAAAACACACCTTGTGAAGGCTTTATTTTCATCCCATTTTATCATCTTATGTTATTTGCGATAATTTATTTTCTTCTTTATCAGATATAACCAGAACATAAAATTCCTACACTGGACGTCGGTTTTCATTGGGGACCTTCCCGTTGTCTCCCTGCACGCATAATTATTGCAGTATTTATTTACACCCAGCAGCTATTTTAAAAATTTGTTCTCCGCTAGCTCTGCGGGATCTTTATCTATTTTTCCGTTACAGTCAATGCCCCATATTTCTTTTCCATAGAGAAGTATGGGGGATATATTAAGAGTGTCAAATAATTTTATCTTTAAATTAACATTATCTCTCAAGTGGCCTCCCATCTCTTTTCTTAATTCATGCAGAGCTTTGGATGCAAATTTTTTCAGTTTCTGCGTGGCGAGATTAAAATTTCTATATGGGCTTAGTATTAGTCCATGGTATTTGTACGATTTGACGTTTTCTAATTTACTTGCGCCATATCTAAACGAGTAGTTGTTCAAGGATTTGCCGCATTTATTAAAAATCATAACTTTTGCTTTTCTAAGTTGACAACTAAATCAGCATAATCACAGAAAGATTCCAGTTTATTTAAAATATTTTGCAGGCTTTTTGCTGATCTAAAAAGGATCACTAGATCGTCAGCATATAAGAAGCAATTTAAGGATTTTCTCCTAAAGTAATGTCCGTCGATATATCCGTCTAGGCCAAATAAGAGAGTGGCCCCGGACACAAATGGGTTTACTATACACCGGAACATTCCAGAACACTTTAAATAGATAAATTGAAATGAAACAAACAAAATGAACCACTATGATGACTCACGGTATCCTTTGTTCCCTCGTCTGGGTTTTTGTACAATAACGCAAATGATCCATCTAATAAGTATGAAATATCGTGGCGTGCGGTATAATGCTTTGAATTTTCTGAAAACGCTATCTTAATCGTCATCCCTACCCGTCAACTAAGCCACAATCCTGGTGCTGTATTCAATCGTAAATGTACTATGGCACTACCCGGGGAGTGGCACATTTTAAGAGCACATGCTAAAGATGAAGGGCACTTAGAACGTTTTCACTCACGTGGCCAGCATCTATGCAAATTTATTGGAACGAAAGAAACTGAAACTTCCTTTTACGAGGAAAAAACGAACCAATTCAACGACCTGCTCCCAGTTGGCATGCTTGTTAGCTTAACTGGTAGAGCGCTGCACCGGTATCGCAGCTGCAAAAGTTTCGTATATAACTGCGATGATCATCATTCATTTAAAAGAAAGTTTTTACATAAGAAAAAGGTTCAACTCCCACAGGATTGGTTTGGAACACCGACATGGCCGCCGTGACGTCATGTGAAAATGCTCTATATAGACAGGGGTAAGGGTAGCTTATTAGAGAAGGGGTTTCCCGGTTAAATCGTAGGAAAGGTCAAAGGTCCGATCAGATTGCCATTTGTGTAGTCAGAACTGTAGTAAAAAATATGAGCAATTTTTTTTTATTGGACGCGATTTTTTGTGTTGACAACCCATTAATATCTCCAAACCCAACACGGTGGGTCGCCTCGTTGGCTCTTGCCTCAAGGTACCCCTAGCTTATCATATTAGGTCAAAATGGGTTATTAGTCTCCCTGATAACCCTACTCCGATGAGCCAATCAAATGCTGAACATTGAATCGCCATAGTCCAGTTATTAATAACATTTTTTATTGCATTCTACTATGTTCTAACTATGAAATAACAAGACTGTCTTAACTTTCTTAATTGAATTTTTTGAAACATGAATAGGAAATGTCATTACTTTGGGATGAAACTGTTTCTCTTCATTCGTGAAAAGTATTTTTATAGAAGAAAATTCGCAATAAATAAAATCTTTCCTACTAACACGAATATTCTTCTCTTTTAACTACTTCGATTGCACGATTAACGGTCCGTTTTAAGTATCCATTCATTCATAATACAAAAAAAATCCCTGAAACACTTTCTTTTAAATTAAGCAATCACTAGAATTCGTTGACTCTTTAAATATTAATTCTACAAAAATGATGCTGAAATGAAGTAGTGAAAACGAGCCTAAGGTCGTCTAAGAAACAAATTCGAGAGGGGACCAACTGAGATTTTAATTTAATTTTATTTTAATTCAATCTACTGTCCTAAATGATCGCCTCATTTACTAAGTCGTCAAAAAGGGCCTGCAAAAAAAACAAGTAAAAGAATGTTATGAGTAGAGAATCATCTCCTCATCAATCATACACATATCTATTACATGCTTGTTACAATTTAGGCGAGCAAAAACGACCATTTAAAAATAGTGACAGGAAAATCCGATAATTATAATTTACACCACAATTTTTGAAAGGCTATTTCGATTCTTTTTGTCGCTATCATGACATACAATAACTTCAAAACCTCTGCTGCTGTGTTTGTTATTTCATTCTTTTTAAAATCGTAGGTTCGCATCTAAAACGCGGTAGAGACTTTCAAGTCGCAAATTACCGGCGGAAAAACGCACTTTCTAGTTTTAGAATAATCTCAAAGTTCTTCAAACTACACTAATCCTTATACAGTACTTCACATTTTTACGTTCATTTCATAAGCAAACTTGAGCGTTTATTGGGCCACGAAGTAACTGCGCATGCCAAAATTAAGTTTTGACCCCCAATTGCGTTTCTCAAGAATAGTGTTTGCAATAAGCGACAACTTTAGTAAGACACCCTTAAGGTGTTTCGATACAGTTTTTCAGAGGCCATACCGATATTTTCAAAATTTTCAATTTTCAGTAATTGGCTATGGATTGAAATTTGTGAAAATGCAGTTTTAAGTAAAATCGATATTACTATGACAACAATAAACAAAAAAAGCCGAATTTTGTGTGATCTGGACCAGCTACTGAAAATCCAACGCTAGGAACTTAAAGTTTGGTGTTTAGCAAACAATCTGCGTAAGAAGTAAAAAATTCTGCATGTTTCAATTCCACTAAAACGAAAATGTATTTCAAACCTTAAATTTTCAATAGCCGTGATAGATTATTTGATAAGAACGTTATAAATGACTCCAATTATTCTTAAGTAGCGTCTCTGAGAATGCTGCGTAATATCGTATTTTAATGCTAGGAAATTTTGGTTTATTTTCCTTCTTGCGATCTTGAAAACTAACCCGTTTTCTCTGTTGACGCTGTTTAGTAGATATATCATGTTTATTTCCTTCATTACTTATAATAGTATTATTGGTGACTGTGAGACTCCGTCTGGAAACCATGAGAACCAATCCAAAGAAATTTGTCTTTAAGGATTAATACCACAAAATAAGCCGTATAAGAGCATTTCAATCAACGGTTAAATTCTAAAGACACTTCAAAGCGTCACTTTTACTTTTCTTCAAATTAACATTTGTTCTTTGTAATTTGTCTCGTCCATTTTGTTATTGCTCTTAATTTCTCTTTTTAATGCCATAAAATACTATACACGCCACTTACTTAGCTTACCTTAAAAAAGAACATTTACTGGGTACAAATAAGGGCCACGCCCCATTTACACAAACTGAAAAAATGTATTTAGTGTTCGTTATACAATTACTTACCGGAGACTGGCCGTTTGCCCGCAAACCTGGGGCATACCAATCAGAGAAGTCATTAATATTGACTACATCTTGAGAACGCTTGCGCTTATATCTCCGCTGTAGGAAAGAGAAAATAAGGCTCATATACTGAACTACAAATAAGTAAATAAATATGCACTAGTTAGTGAACGGTCCACTTTATAAGATATTACGCCGTTTGCGGTGTCGTTAATCATCTTATGAGACCTACGCATATTGAAATGATTAAGTTTAACACAGTTTTACAAAGGGTTTAAAAACAAAAACAGAGAACAAAACTGAATTCAAGGCTGGCACTACGGCAAAGGGCTGATCTATTATAGGACAATATTTCGGCCTGTATATCATTCTATCTAGTATTTATAAAGGTAGAGAATTCTTAACCACTTATGTAAATTTCCAATTTAAATTTTAGGAGTCGTTAAAAATATTTTCTCTCGGTATAACTCTGGCCCTTAGGAAGGCTAATTAAATATTGGCCTACAATAAATCAGCCCTTTGCCGCATTACCAGCTCTGCATTCAGTTTTGTTTTATTTTACACATCAAGTGACGTCTGGCTACAGCATCTCTTTAATTAGAGATCCGGCAAGAGGAACTAGTCAGTTTTATTTACGCGTTGCGTGGACCTCTGCATTCAAACAGTTCTTCCTAGAAACAGAGAGTCATCCTTATTATTCCTTACTATTGCAAAATAAAAGAAAAAATTAAGACTCAATAACATGCGTCAGTTAAGCGGAACCTATAACTGCGACTACAAACACATGTCAAAAATGTTTCAGCCTTGCAAGACAAAGAATATACTGGACTAACGGATTCGTATGACTAAAGTTTTCACTTACCGCCAATAACAATAGAAGTGGACAGCAGCAGCAGAGAAGAACTAAACTAACTATAAGAATGATTATCCAAAGCTCAATTTCGGAGGGTTCTGTTGAATAAATAATTGACTTTCATTGAGATTGTAAGTAAATTAATTTTGTATTTATGTTTCCTACGTTCTCCTCTATGTTCATTTGTTGCTGATATATATACTAAAATCACTGGACCTGGATGTAGTAATGTGGTCTTTGTAGCTGTAATAGAGCATAACACAAGTACATTCACACAGGAAAACAAGAACCAGACCAGAGTTCCGCGTAGAACGTCACGTGTTACCAACCTACTGCTTATGAGAGAAAACATCAGACTTAGCTCATTAACATTGGGTTCGTCCGGTGTGAGGTCGGCTGTTTGAGTTACGTCTTAGTTTCCCCTTTATATCGAATACAAATGTAAATGTGAAGGGCGTACTAAAATCTGACGAAAAATTGCTGTGAATGTAAATACAATAGTTCATAGAACATTTCCTTTAGCTTCGACAAAACATGTTACCGACTTTTAGAACGTTTATAAGGAATTCAAAGGCAGCGAAATGTAGGAACGCCGTTAATATGTCAGCAACAAATAGTACATTCAAATGACCCGACAAATTTGCCCATACCTTTTAATTCATTTCATAGAAATAATGAAAAAAAAGGAAGATATTCCGTAGAACGATGAGCGGTTTCATTGAAAAAAACCTTTTTGTGTCGTAGGAATGCAGCAATGCAGTCAATTTTTTTTGTTTTATTTTACTTAACGCTGAAATTATGAAACATCTAATTCAGGAGAGATTTCGCCAAAACTTGGGTGCAACATGGAAAACAACATGGCGCTATCATCATGTTCTCACTTTCATAGGTAAAAACTCCCGTTCAATAAACCTGCTAGACTCTGTACAGTAGATGCCAGTAAATGAAGATGTACTCTTTGAAAATCACTTTCTGTTTCCTCACTGTTTAGGTTTGTTTTGCCGGGCGTGTTGAGAAAATGACATCACAATTTTGAGGACATAAATTTCTAATTGCAGACTCGACAAAATCTAAATTTCCAAGGTCAACATTTTCACTTTGCGGCGCCCAAAGATCATTTCAATGACCGAAACACGTACAGCTACTTTTGATGTGCTGAAAAGAACGCGTTTTTTCACACGTTGTTTCACACGTGACATGAAATTTTGATCATAGTAGAAAAACAGGTTGTTAGTTGTTGAGAATAACAAAAATAGAAAAACGTTTTCTACGTAAAATGTCTACTGAACTACACCATAGTTATTAAAGTGCAATGGTTATGAAACCTGTTAGACTCCTTTGTTATATGTTTTTGTTAGCTTTTCTTTAATTGACCGTGCACAACGTTAAACAGCATCCCTATAATTTTGAACTTGCTGACCAATGACGACATCGCAATAATTTATTCAGTCATAATTTGTGAACAAAAAAACAAAGGATTGTGCACGGTTAGGGAGCTTCCAACATAAAGTACAGAATTGTTGTTTCAACGGTGATGTTTGCCGGCTTTCATAACTACTGTCCTATACCAACTACGACTACATAGGATAGCAGGCCAGGTAATGCAACGGTTGCTTCGACTAACTTATTCTATAAGGTCCATAAAACTGAAAATGCGTCATTGTGGTGTCTGGTTTACAACACAAGTAACAAGACTACTGCTAGAAATAATGCACTTATCTAAAAAATCATATTTGCGTCAACATACGTCAACATACCTGGAGGTACTATGGTAGTTGGCGGTGTTGTTGATAACAAGATCGGAAGTATTTCGGACACCTTCAAATTTCCCCCAATGGTGTAGAAATTTATGTCTTTCGTCTTGTTGGCTTCTCGAAGAGAAAGAGCAATGCTGACATTTGTTACATTAGAGGAGGCGGTGAAGTAAAGTTTGTATCGAACTCCTAAACCAGGGAATCCTTTGTAGTAGCCAATAATTTCCATTCTGTCAAAACTTGGAAATTGGCTTCTGAAGTATGGCTCGAAAACGTGATTGGTTAAGGTGTTAGATTGAGCGCGGAAACTGTCTGTGTCATTGTTAGCCATGGAGGAGTCGTAAGAAGAGCCTAGCTCAAGTATTTCCATCTGAACTTCAAACTGTAATGGTTCTTGCTCTAAGAAAGAAGAAATATTGCTAAATATTCTGTTTCCAACAATGTGAAGTCGCTGTTAGTAAAATCACATTCGAATATGCTTCTATTATTCAGTCGTCCATAGCACCGCCAACGCTTTAAAACAAACTTTTACCACTTACACGGCAAAAAGAAACTACCCTTGATAAGGTTACATTACTGGTGTTTAATTAGCAGTATTGCAACCAAGAAATATATGGAAATAACTAATAATAATAATAATAATAATAAGAAGAAGATTTTTACAGCGTCTATCCAGTAATAGATCTCGGCGCTAAAAAAAGTGAAAAAATTAGAATTAAAATTGATTATAATAAATTTAAACTTAAATAAAACATATAAAATCAAATAAAACTTCCTAATGACTAAAATAAAATTTCTTAAAAAGGTACGTTTTAAGTCTATGCCTTAAAAGACATCGATTCTCTCTTGAGCGTATGTCGTCAGGTAGTTTGTTCCAAAGTTCGGGGGCTGAGACAGAGAATGCTGTAGATCCATAGGTCTTATATTAAGGTTAAAGCTAAGAGGATTCAGACTGAGCGTAGAAGATGATCGAAGCGATCTAGACGGTAAGTACCGGGTGATTAGGTCTAGAATGTAGGGCGGAGTTTGCTGATGCAGAACCTTGAAGGTAAGTAGTAGAATCTTGAATTTAATTCGTTCAGAAACAGGTAGCCAGTGAAGATCGAAGAGGATGAGAGTGATGTGATCACACTTCCTAGAGCGTGTAATCAGTCTGGCAGCTACATTCTGCACCGATTGATGCTTTTTGATGACGCTTTTGGCGACATTATATAAAAGCGAAATGCAGTGATCTAGTTTGAAAGTTGCAAAGGCGTGAATAAGAATCTCAGCAGTTTGCGTTGATAAGTATTTCCTTATGCGGGAAATGGTGCGAATATGATAAAAGGCAGATTTACAAACATTTTTGACTTGGGGAAGCATTGACATGGTGGTAGAGCCAATATATATTTCTTGCATGTGAAGAGGGCTTGATTATGTCAGTTCCAAAGCGAAGCGGGAGTAGAGATTGTTGTGAATTATACTTTGAGAATAAGTAGAGAAGCGCGGTCTTGTCTTTGTTTACTTTTAGTCTGTTGATGGACATCCACTTATCAATGTCGGACAGGCATTCCTCAATCTTAGTGATACTGTTAGTTAATTCCATATCGTTGTTTGTAGAGAAAGAGATATGAAATTGAGTGTCATCGGCGTGAAAGTGAAAGTGCATTTCATGGTATCGTAGAATGTCGGCCAGTGGTGCTGTCTAGAGAACATACAGAATCGGTCCAAGGACAGGACCTTGAGGTACACCGCACTTGAGCTCGCGAGTCTGTGAGTTACACCCTTCGGTTAACGCAAATTGCGAGCGATTAGTAAGGTAGAAGCGAAACCATTCAAGACCTATGGCAGAGATAGAATATTTAGAGTGCAATCTTGTAAGGAGGATATCGTGATCCACAGTGTTGAAGGCAGCAGACAGGTCTAAGAGCAGACGCACGACAAAATGACGTTTGTCAATAGCAACCAAAACGTCATTGTGAACGCGCACAAGGACGGTTTCACAACTGTGGAAATGTTTATAGCAGCTCATTTAGCTTGTAAGCTTCTAAATATTTTTGAAGACGTACTGTGACGACCTTTTCAATAATTGTTGAGATCACCTTGAGGTCTGAAAAAGGTCTGTAGTTTGCAAGAACTTCATGATCTAAGTTGGCTTTCTGAAGTAGACGGGATAGAAGAAAACGGAAAGAAGACGGAAAATGACCGAATTCCAGTGACAAGTTGACAATCTTCAGGATGATTGGTAAAAGTAAATCGAATTGCTGCTCCAGTAGGGTGGCGGAAAGCGGATTCAAATACAGGATTTCATGATGATATTGTTAGCAATGTTCGACAGTTCGGTAATAGAAGTTGGTGCAAAATTTACAAGCTGACAGGTTAGTGATCAAGTATCTAGGGTCCTGAAGAAATCAGGAATTACAGGTGTACCAAGATTACTTCTGATATTGACGATTTTCTCCTCAAAAAAGTCGATGAATTTATTGGCGAGATCAACTTGCAGAAGAGCTGGTAGGGAAACGTTTATCTGCTTTCCTGTGAAGAAGACGAGTAATTGTACGAAACAGGGTTTTGTTGTCACTTTCAGCTGAATAGTTAAGGCTAAAATAGTAATCCATTTTTGATTTGAAAATGGTGTGCTTTACAACAGGGCGTTGGTCGGTATAAGATTGATAGTTGGGAGTAAGTCAGAAAGGACGCCATCGCCTTTCAAGCCTACGACAGGTCACTTTCTGCTCCTTGATTTCCTCAATGTACCAAGGGGCACGCGGGCTAACATCATAGGTCTAGGCTCAATTGCAATATTTAGATGTGTAAATTCCCTTCCACCACTTCCAAAATCCATTTCTCGGGAATGCATTTTTTATTTAATAATGCACATTATATAGCACTCTAATATTGATGAATCTATGTATTTATTAATTTCGCCAGATAAGGACGTTATTAATTCAGCGTCCGTTAGTTTTCACCTAAATACTCTCATGGCACATAAAGTGCCAAATTGATATCATTACCTATGTCACAGTTTTCGCCTTCATAGCCTGGGTCACAAATGCAACTGTAGGAGTCACCACTTATGGAACATATTCCATTTTCACATGGATCTGGATTACACGCGTCTGGAGCTGAAATAAGAAAACGTGTCATCAAACCCTTTACGAGAAAGATGTAAAATAAACCAAGTTTCTGTCAAGTTGTATTCTGCTTTTCACTGAAACTTTAAAGCAAGATATATGGTTCTTGAACTAGAGAGTACGTATTTCCACAACGCGTTGTTCTTCATTTACTATCAAAGCGATAACGCTCACGCCTTACCTCACAAACACTTATTGCTACGTTTCTAATTGCTATTTAAATCTCCTTCAGATATTTACTAGCCTTATTTCGTAAGCATATGTTGTTAGAGGTGCTTCCAAGCTAGCCTCTCTTCTATAGAAATTTGAACCCTTTGAATTTGGTTGTGACGACAGTGCAGTGTACGTACGTACGTCCCCACAGACACTAGTAAATGGGGAACGGAGACTTTGTAAGGAGGGGAAGGAAATCCCAGAAATGTATTATTTGTTTGTTTTGGAGAAAAGCAAACCTGTTAGGTGACGCCCCGGTAAAAAAATTATGCTTTCCTTATACCTTAGCTACCCTCCAGGACCAATCTTATCCAAGCTTGGTCAGAATTTTGACTGGTTAATTCATGCGTACATATTTGTGCTGCATTGACAACTAAACCTTTGTGTAATTTTACTTTTGTATTCCTCAACTGCCGCCACTGAATTAAATACAGCTGCTATCAGGTTTTTTTTTTCGTTCACGGCTCGTTTGTTTATTTTGTGTTTGTTTATAAAAAGCGTTCGAGATTCATCAATGGCCGCTTTTTTGAGAGCTCATTCAGCAAAGCGTAAGCGTTGCTGACCTCACCTACTGGCCTTCAGGAACCGCATAGCAAAAGAGTATGAGTCATTATATTTTTCCCTGATTTTACTTTGTTTGTGAAGTCGGGCATAATTATTTCATTTCTGTAACGATAATGCATGTTTTCAAGATTTGAGATGATGTATGAATCGCGTTACCAGGTTCAAAATACACATTGAATTGACATTGAAATTCTTTTTCTGATCGAGAATGAAAGAAAAAACACGTTATAAAAAGTACTCAGTTTTCGTATTGGTTGTAAAAAGTAAGCTTTAAGCGAAACTCTTGTAGCGAATTTGAGAGAAATATATGGTTTTGGCTCTCTTTATAATTCAATGTCTAAGGATAAAAAAAACCTTAATTGAAAACTCTGTTTGAAAAAAAGCAAGTCACGCCAAAAACATTAATAAATATCGGGACCTGTACAAACGTATAACGCATTATTAGTTTGTCAAAATCCCCAGCAAAAGAGAAAACAATTTGGCGTCATCATCTTTAAATTAGAGAGTAATAAAGAGTTGTTTTGCCAAAATATGAACTCCATTAAGGGAAAAATCGGTTCGTCCTGTCCCGGGTTATGACGGTGGTTACAATATGAAATAACATAAGTTTCATTGTGTCAAGCGTGTCAAGGACACCTTAAAAAATCATCAAATCGACAGCATTAACAAAAGCAAAAAAGGCTCTAAGAGTATAGAAAGAAACTTGGTGAACAATACCTATTTCGCAATTGAGTCCATAAAAGCCAACGTTGCATTGACAAGTATATCCATTCACTTGGTCCATGCAAGTGCCATTGTTAAGGCATGTCACACCCAAACAATCATTGATATCTAAGAAAAAATGAAATAATAAATCTTGCAAACGTATTACTATTACGAGACTAACAAGGATATTTAAAAATCATACGACCGTGACGAAAGTAAAAATATTCAAACTATTTCGCTCCCAAAACAAAACAAACACTGCTTTACAGACCTTCAAACGACTCAAACTCGGCAAACCAAACTGGTCAAAACAACGCTGGCTGACACGCCAGAAAAGGTGGAGGCCGAAGATACTTGGCGACAGACTGGGCGATGCACTGGCCGAGGCACTGGTCGACACGAGAGCGGACTGGTCGACACGCTGGCTAGAAGAGATGGAGGCCACAGGTGGAGGCAGAGAGGCACTTGGCGACAGACTGGGCGATGCTGGCGACAGACTGGGCGATGCACTGAGCCGAGGCACTGGTCGACACGCTGGCTGACACGCTAGCAGAGGTGGAGGCCGAGACACTTGGCGACAGACTGGGCGATGCACTGGCCGAGGCACTGGTCGACACGCTGGCTGACACGCTAGCAGAGGTGGAGGCCGAGACACTTGGCGACAGACTGGGCGATGCACTGGCCGAGGCACTGGTCGACACGCTGGCTGACACGCTAGCAGAGGTGGAGGCCGAGACACTTGGCGACAGACTGGGCGATGCACTGGCCGAGGCACTGGTCGACACGCTGGCTGGACACGCTGGTCGACAGCAGAGGTGGAGGCCGAGACACTTGGCGACAGACTGGGCGATGCACTGGCCGAGGCACTGGTCGACACGCTGGCTGACACGCTAGCAGAGGTGGAGGCCGAGACACTTGGCGACAGACTGGGCGATGCACTGGCCGAGGCACTGGTCGACACGCTGGCTGACACGCTAGCAGAGGTGGAGGCCGAGACACTTGGCGACAGACTGGGCGATGCACTGGCCGAGGCACTGGTCGACACGCTGGCTGACACGCTAGCAGAGGTGGAGGCCGAGACACTTGGCGACAGACTGGGCGATGCACTGGCCGAGGCACTGGTCGACACGCTGGCTGACACGCTAGCAGAGGTGGAGGCCGAGACACTTGGCGACAGACTGGGCGATGCACTGGCCGAGGCACTGGTCGACACGCTGGCTGACACGCTAGCAGAGGTGGAGGCCGAGACACTTGGCGACAGACTGGGCGATGCACTGGCCGAGGCACTGGTCGACACGCTGGGCAGAGGTGGAGGCGAGACACTTGGCGACAGACTGGGCGACGCGAGCAGAGGTGGGGCCGAGACGCGGCGACAGACTGGGCGATGCACTGGCCGAGGGCACTGGTCGACACGCTGGCTGACACGCTGACAGCAGAGGTGGAGGCCGAGACACTTGGCGACAGACTGGGCGATGCACTGGCCGAGGCACTGGTCGACACGCTGGCTGACACGCTAGCAGAGGTGGAGAGGTGGAGGCCGAGACGAGGCACTGGTTGGCGACAGACTGGGCGATGCACTGGCCGAGGCACTGGTCGACACGCTGGCTGACACGCTAGCAGAGGTGGAGGCCGAGACACTTGGCGACAGACTGGGCGATGCACTGGCCGAGGCACTGGTCGACACGCTGGCTGACACGCTAGCAGAGGTGGAGGCCGAGACACTTGGCGACAGACTGGGCGATGCACTGGCCGAGGCACTGGTCGACACGCTGGCTGACACGCTAGCAGAGGTGGAGGCCGAGACACTTGGCGACAGACTGGGCGATGCACTGGCCGAGGCACTGGTCGACACGCTGGCTGACACGCTAGCAGAGGTGGAGGCCGAGACACTTGGCGACAGACTGGGCGATGCACTGGCCGAGGCACTGGTCGACACGCTGGCTGACACGCTAGCAGAGGTGGAGGCCGAGACACTTGGCGACAGACTGGGCGATGCACTGGCCGAGGCACTGGTCGACACGCTGGCTGACACGCTAGCAGAGGTGGAGGCCGAGACACTTGGCGACAGACTGGGCGATGCACTGGCCGAGGCACTGGTCGACACGCTGGCTGGCTGACACGCTAGCAGAGGTGGACGCTGGCCGGCCGAGACACTTGGCGACAGACTGGGCGATGCACTGGCCGAGGCACTGGTCGACACGCTGGCTGACACGCTAGCAGAGGTGGAGGCCGAGACACTTGGCGACAGACTGGGCGATGCACTGGCCGAGGCACTGGTCGACACGCTGGCTGACACGCTAGCAGAGGTGGAGGCCGAGACACTTGGCGACAGACTGGGCGATGCACTGGCCGAGGCACTGGTCGACACGCTGGCTGACACGCTAGCAGAGGTGGAGGCCGAGACAGACTGGGCGATGCACTGGCGACAGACTGGGCGATGCACTGGGCCGAGGCACTGGTCGACACTGGCTGGCTGACACGCTGAGCAGCAGAGGTGGAGGCCGAGACACTTGGCGACAGACTGGGCGATGCACTGGCCGAGGCACTGGTCGACACGCTGGCTGACACGCTAGCAGAGGTGGAGGCCGAGACACTTGGCGACAGACTGGGCGATGCACTGGCCGAGGCACTGGTCGACACGCTGGCTGACACGCAGAGCAGAGGTGGAGGCCGAGACACTTGGCGACAGACTGGGCGATGCACTGGCCGAGGCACTGGTCGACACGCTGGCTGACACGCTAGCAGAGGTGGAGGCCGAGACACTTGGCGACAGACTGGGCGATGCACTGGCCGAGGCACTGGTCGACACGCTGGCTGACACGCTAGCAGAGGTGGAGGCCGAGACACTTGGCGACAGACTGGGCGATGCACTGGCCGAGGCACTGGTCGACACGCTGGCTGACACGCTAGCAGAGGTGGAGGCCGACTGGACACTGGCGACAGACTGGGCGACGCACTGGCCGAGGCAGACTGGTCGACTGGTCGACACGCTGGCTGACACGCTAGCAGAGGTGGAGGCCGAGACACTTGGCGACAGACTGGGCGATGCACTGGCCGAGGCACTGGTCGACGCTGGCTGGGCGAGGTGGAGGGCCGAGACGCTGGGCGACAGACTGGGCGATGCACTGGCCGAGGCACTGGTCGACACGCTGGCTGACACGCTAGCAGAGGTGGAGGCCGAGCACACTGGTCGACGCGCACGCTAGCAGAGGTGGAGGCCGAGACTGGCGACAGACTGGGCGATGCACTGGCCGAGGCACTGGTCGACACGCTGGCTGACACGCTAGCAGAGGTGGAGGCCGAGACACTTGGCGACAGACTGGGCGATGCACTGGCCGAGGCACTGGTCGACACGCTGGCTGACACGCTAGCAGAGGTGGAGGCCGAGACACTTGGCGACAGACTGGGCGATGCACTGGCCGAGGCACTGGTCGACACGCTGGCTGACACGCTAGCAGAGGTGGAGGCCGAGACTTGGCGACAGACTGGGCGATGCACTGGCCGAGGCACTGGTCGACACGCTGGCTGACACGCTAGCAGAGGTGGAGGCCGAGACACTTGGCGACAGACTGGGCGATGCACTGGCCGAGGCACTGGTCGACACGCTGGCTGACACGCTAGCAGAGGTGGAGGCCGAGACACTTGGCGACAGACTGGGCGATGCACTGGCCGAGGCACTGGTCGACACGCTGGCTGACACGCTAGCAGAGAGGTGGAGGCGAGACACTTGGCGACAGACTGGGCGATGCACTGGCCGAGGCACTGGTCGACACGCTGGCTGACACGCTAGCAGAGGTGGAGGCCGAGACACTTGGCGACAGACTGGGCGATGCACTGGCCGAGGCACTGGTCGACACGCTGGCTGACACGCTAGCAGAGGTGGAGGCCGAGACACTTGGCGACAGACTGGGCGATGCACTGGCCGAGGCACTGGTCGACACGCTGGCTGACACGCTAGCAGAGGTGGAGGCCGAGACACTTGGCGACAGACTGGGCGATGCACTGGCCGAGGCACTGGTCGACACGCTGGCTGACACGCTAGCAGAGGTGGAGGCCGAGACACTTGGCGACAGACTGGGCGATGCACTGGCCGAGGCACTGGTCGACACGCTGGCTGACACGCTAGCAGAGGTGGAGGCCGAGACACTTGGCGACAGACTGGGCGATGCACTGGCCGAGGCACTGGTCGACACGCTGGCTGACACGCTAGCAGAGGTGGAGGGAGGCCGAGACACTTGGCGACAGACTGGGCGATGCACTGGCCGAGGCACTGGTCGACACGCTGGCTGACACGCTAGCAGAGGTGGAGGCCGAGACACTTGGCGACAGACTGGGCGATGCACTGGCCGAGGCACTGGTCGACACGCTGGCTGACACGCTAGCAGAGGTGGAGGCCGAGACACTTGGCGACAGACTGGGCGATGCACTGGCCGAGGCACTGGTCGACACGCTGGCTGACACGCTAGCAGAGGTGGAGGCCGAGACACTTGGCGACAGACTGGGCGATGCACTGGCCGAGGCACTGGTCGACACGCTGGCTGACACGCTAGCAGAGGTGGAGGCCGAGACACTTGGCGACAGACTGGGCGATGCACTGGCCGAGGCACTGGTCGACACGCTGGCTGACACGCTAGCAGAGGTGGAGGCCGAGACACTTGGCGACAGACTGGGCGATGCACTGGCCGAGGCACTGGTCGACACGCTGGCTGACACGCTAGCAGAGGTGGAGGCCGAGACACTTGGCGACAGACTGGGCGATGCACTGGCCGAGGCACTGGTCGACACGCTGGCTGACACGCTAGCAGAGGGTGGAGGCCGAGACACTTGGCGACAGACTGGGCGATGCACTGGCCGAGGCACTGGTCGACACGCTGGCTGACACGCTAGCAGAGGTGGAGGCCGAGACACTTGGCGACAGACTGGGCGATGCACTGGCCGAGGCACTGGTCGACACGCTGGCTGACACGCTAGCAGAGGTGGAGGCCGAGACACTTGGCGACAGACTGGGCGATGCACTGGCCGAGGCACTGGTCGACACGCTGGCTGACACGCTAGCAGAGGTGGAGGCCGAGACACTTG